TTAGACTAGGAATTAATTTGGATTAGGGATAAATCGTGCCAGACGGTTAGTTTGGATAAAATAAAGCCGCAACTTTGATAAATCTAAATTTCATGGATTTCGATCGTAAATCCCTGATTTACTGAATCTCGTGAATTGGCGTATCTAGTAAATCCGGGAAGATCAAAGGGGAGATCAAAGAGAAGAATAAATCTTGCCAAAAGGTTAGTTTGGATAAAATAAAGCCGCAACTTTGATAAATCCAAATTTCATGGATTTCGACCGTAAATCCTTGATTTACTAAATCTCGTGAATTGGCTTATTTAGCAAATCCGGGAAGATCAAAGAGAAAGAATGGCAAGAACAGGCTTATTTTCCTCGATGGTTTTGGGTAGGAGTGGAGCAGAATGAGGAAAAAGATGGAGTTTTGGTGGTATATGTACGCTTCGATCCCATCGTTGCCTTCCCAGTTAGCTTTAAATGCGATTGTATCGCGAGGGTTCTATCATGAAGGCGATGGATTTGGGCAAAATAGGAAGAAGGGTAGGGACATGAGCAAGGGTTTCGGGCAGATAGTAAGGGACCGTGAGAAGGGCAGCAATGTAGGCGATGGTTTCGGGCAGATCTGAAGGGACCCGCAAATAAATAGGTTTCTGGTATTAATTTAATTTTATTTAAGTTAATTTTATTAATTTAATTGATTAATAACTAATTAATATATTATTAAGTTGATTATTTTTAGAAAATGTGGATATAATTATTTAATAATTAATTAATAATAATAATATGCATATTAATTTTTATTTATTTAAAAAATTGTAAAAGTAATTATTTATTAATATAATTAATAATTACTTAATTATTAATTTACAAATGCTAAAATCTTGCTTAATAAATAATTAGTTTGATAAAATTTTTATTAATAATTAATTGTTTAGTGAATAATTGATTATTAATTAGCATAATTGTAAATTAAATATAAAATTAATTTAACTAAATTTAAGAATAAATTTTTATCATAAATTTAACTGAGTTTTTAGTAATAGACAAAATCCTTACATAAGTTACCAATTAGTTTCTTAGAATTTAACTAGATTTACTAAAGCTCATGTTAAACACTTTTTGGGATTCAACCACCCAGATTTGCTAAATTTGGATTCACATAATTTAACAAATCCACTTAAGTTAAAGCTCATTCGTTGCCATACAACCTTAAACATCGACCATCTAATGATCCAATTATTAAAGTAGAAATTTTAAATTTGGCTTATGTTATGACATGTAGAGGTAGACATACAAAGACTTAGGCATGCTTTATAAAAAAATGATATTAATTTATTAGAATTAAATTAAAATATGACATTCAATAGGACAGAAAGGATTCATGAGCTGATGTTGTGGTATATTGAAATAGAACGATTGACGAAGCGAAGAATAGAACGAGAAAATTCACACTAGAAAACAGTAACACAGCGGAACACAGATTTACGTGGTTCGGCAAATTGCCTACGTCTACAGAGTTGCAGATGATTTTACTACTTGAGGAATATACGCCAGTCGATCGCTCGACTTACAAGACGGATCTCTCACTTCTTTACTCTCTCTTCTTCTTTTTTTACTCCGAGATACAACGAAGAAGATAAACTTATAAGAGAAATAAACTCAATTTATCTTCTACCACAAGCCACTAAAAAGAAGTCAAGGGAGAACAATATTCTTCTTCTTCTTTCTTTTGTCGCAAGAAACTACTGTCTGCACCTCTATTCCTCTGTCCCGTGGGTTACTCTTGTAGCTGCTTATAACTCCCACTGCATGGGCAATATCCCGCCTCTGCTGAAGGCCTTTTCCAACAAGTCTAGCCTTGTACCTCTTACTGCCATCATGCTCAGTCTTCATCTGGTACACCCACTTGTTTTGTAATGTCTTCTTCCCTGGTAGAAGTTCTGTCAGCTCCCACTTACTCGAATTTTCATCTTGTAAGATTTCTTCATAGCTATGTGCTTCTCCACCATCTGTCTGTAGAACAATAGGAATGGGTTCCCCGGACTTACTCTCTACCACATTCAACGCTTCTCCATCTGTTATATATGCTTTCCCATAGTCACTTGCAACATAATTTTGCATCAATTCCCGATGGAATGTTGTATGGAAAGAAGCCCCTGAAAAGAAGTATGGAAAGAAGCCCCTGAATCCAATATCCAGTTATCAACAGAACTATGAACTGTCAGCAGTAGTGCATCATGTACTTCTTCAAATACCACATTTGCGTTATTATTCTCCATCTTCTTAGGATTTATGCAATTTCTCTTTATGTGGCCAGCCTTGCCATAATTCCAGCACGTTGTCTGCTGACTAGACTTTGATTTTGATCTCCCTCGATTTGAGTTCCTGTCCTGTGATCTCCCTCTGAAATCAACATTCAGTGTCGAACTCGTACCTGAGATCTCGCTAGAACCTCCTCAGTGCATCTCCTCAGTCAAAATCAAATCACAAATATCATCACATTTCAGTTTAGATTTAACCTGCAGAATTGCTAACTTAACTTTCATCCTCATGGCTTCCCAACTATTTGACAATGATGCCAACAATATCAGCGCACGTATTTTATCATCAAAATCAATTGCAATAGACGAAAATTGATTTATGATAGTATTGAAATTATTCAGGTGTTAAGCAATAGAAACACCTTTCGTCATTTTCAAATTGAATAACTTTTTCATCATATATACTTTGTTATTAGCCGACGACTTTTCATATATACCTGATAAGGCTGACATGAGATCTGCAGTCGTCTTTTCATTGACGACGTGTGCAACGGACCAAGATAGGGTCAATCGAATAACCCCAAGAACTTGTCGATCCAACAAATTTCATCATTCAGCCTCATTCAGCCTCATCCATCATTTCAGGTCTTTTCCTCAATAACGGAAGATGGAGTTTCTTCCTATAGAGGTAATCCTCTATCTACATTCTTTAATAACCAAAATTTGTGCCATCAAATTTCTCAATCCTTGAAACCTTCATTTCATCTGCAGTCATCGTCAATCCTCAGATCCAAAACCATAAGCTCTGATACCAGTTGTTGTAGTATATTAAAATAGAACGATCGACGAAGTGAAATATGGAATGAGGAAATTCACACCAGAAAACAGTAACACAACGGAACACACAAATTTACGTGATTTGGCAAATTGCTTACGTCCACGAAGTTGCAGAGAATTTTAATACTTGAGGAATATATACCAGTCGATCGTCTCGACTTATAAGAGGGATCTCTCACTTCCTTGCTCTCTCTTCTTCTCTCTCTCCACCGAGATACACCGAAAAAGATGAACTTACAAGAAAAATAAACCTAACTTCTCTTCTGCCACAAGCCACCAAGAAGAAGCCAAGGGAAAACAATCTTCTTTTTCTTCTTTCTTCTAGCGCAAGAAATTACTGCTTGCATTTCTCTTCCTCTGTCCCGTGGAAGTAAAACTGTCGATGAACACAAAAAGGCCGTGTCAAATCTGAAGGAGAGCCGCCCGACACCTTTTATCACGAGAGGAGGCCGATGGAGGGAACAATTAAACGGGAGCGGGAGGCGGAAGTCGCAACGTTTCACGACAGAGGGAGTGATGGCGCCGATTCGCGAAACGGGAAAGGAGCTAGAGCGGGAGCAGGGTCGCGAACTGGGCTCCGTCCTTAACAGCCAACCCCCACTTAGTGGGATAAAGGCTTGTTATTATTGTTGTTGTGATTGATTCTCTCTCCCCCGCTCCTATAGCCAGACTTAATTGAAGTTGAATCACATCTCATTTGTTTTTTGCCCTACATCTCTTTATGTTTTTACTTTGTAGCACATTGATCTCAATCACGACGATGCTTCCACATCACATTTGGTGCCCTTGCTGCAAAAATGCTGATATACAAGAGCAAGATTTTGGAAATCGATCGCCATAAATTTTGAAATTGAGGTGTTTAGAACCAAGATTCCTTTTATGATCTAGTTATGCTTAACTGAAGTCTCTACAGAAACAACCAATAAATGATAAATATGCATGTCAGAGCATTGCATCTCGTAAAACTAGAAAAGAGTTACTTCTTGACTACCAAAAATATTCTGAAACATATTATGGTAAAGGATGAACGGTGAACTTTAGGAAGTGAGTGGATAGCTCTAATTTTCATTGCGCAGCCGATCTCGTGCCATGATATTATGATATTCGCTGGAGATCACAAACACGTGTAATCCCTGACATCTTTCTATCTCAATTTGTGTACAAGAGAGATTGGCTGGTATAAAAAGATGACTCTCATCTAGGGTTTCTTAAGCCGTGCTTTGGAGGCTTACAGATCCTCTTGGACAGGATTTCATATGCGCTTGGAGAAGTAAATCTCTATATTTGGTTTCTCTCTCTCGAGATGACTATAGGTTTATAACATTAGAGCGCAACATCAGCAAATGTTTTGACGAATTTTGTTCCCAGTGATTTGCATTTAGTGATAAATAATCAGCTTATACTTATAAGTTCCTTTTGGGCTTCTTTTTAGTTGCAGTAATTGGGATAAAAAAAAAGAGTTGTTAAGAATTCATTATTTTATACTTTATGTTTGTGGCTTCTGTATTTTTAGTGGATCAGATCTCTCTCTCTCTCTCTCTAGGGTGCGTGCACGTGGAATTCAGCTTAGCTTAAAACAAACCATATAAATCCATTAATCATTGAACTGTATTTTTTTTCCAAATTCGTGATATTTTTAAATTATGTATTTTGCCACCTCCCTCCCTTACAACAAATACCTAAATTTTCTCCACTCTTTGATAATAAAAGAATATTCAATTTTCAAGATTCTGTACAAATCTAAGAGGCATTGGCATAGATTTGATAGATCTCAATTTTGCTGGAATTCATTTATATGCTAAAGCTAACATGGTTTTATATGCAATGCAAGTGAAGTTAGATGTGCTGTGGTGACTGAAAAGTACAATGTTGGTGTTACCCTAACTGCTGAAGTCTTGGGAAAGGAAAATAAGAAATCACCTGAATCAATTGATTGCGATGGTTATCAAGCTGCAAAATGGAAATGGATATGGATGGTTAAGAGTAAATATCAGCACATTCATATTCTTCAATTCATGAGAATAAAGTGTTTGAAAGTTACTTGAATGTTTATGTAGTCCTCTGTATCATCAATGTACTCACGGAGCTGCATAAAATTTTGATATTATAAGAACAGGATATTATTAATGATGGAAGAAAATTATAAAAGAGGCTCAATAGTCATGAAGCCGAAAGACAACAAATATCCAGTTACAAGCCTGAAGTGCCATTATGAATAACCATTCAATCCGCTACTAAAAAATAACTAAATAAATAAAATTTCTATTAAGTTTTTATAGATACATAAAACTTCATGTTCTGATTGTGATTGTATGTATAATTTCCTTGCCAATCTTGACTTTGGTTCCAAAATGTGTATTGAAGACTAAGCAATGCTAGCAATGGAACTGACTCTGCACCCTGGAAATCTATTGAATCAGGCACGCTCAGCTAAGTATGAATTTTAAGCCTAAACCCGGACTGCAACGACAAGGTAATAGTTAGCATTACGGGACCATGATTGTCAAAGAACCTTTCATAGATGCTCAGAAATGTGCGGTCTATCAAAAATCACATTCTTTAGTTAGCCACCGTACATTGATAGGAATAAAATTCTAATGCTCACTTGCATCATTATATACAACAAATCAAAAGCGGAAACTTCACTCTACTCTTGAAATTTACGACTGTAAAGCTGACTAAATGGGGGAAGAAAATCCAGTCCTTAAAAACAGAAAGAAGGCGGGCGCTTTGAGAAGTGGAAGCTATGATCAGGTAAAAACAAGCAGGTATTGCCGGGTTGATGACACAACTATGATGATCCAGATATTTAGTGAATTAAGATACTTGCCCAAAGTTCAAGTAATTCTGCCTACTAGAGCAATATTACAAATATTCTCAAAAACTATAAATGGCTGTAATAGCTGCATTCCAAAGGAAATTTGGATCATCTTTTGATAGAAAGTTCTCATGAGGTTTAAGAGAGTAAAAAAGGAACATAATGAGCTAACAATATTTGGTACTGTGGAGAGCTTGCAAGCTTCAAATTTATAACTATACAAAGGTTCATTAAAAGATGTCACTCGTATTATGTGGCAATTGTGAAAGGAATAAAAATTAGTGTTCCAGAGAACGTCACGCGGCCGTTGTGCAAGGAGAGAAAAATCTAGTTCTCCAGAGACTGGGAACTTGATATTTATGGACGTTAGAATAGCTACATTATTTCTCTGCATTATATAATCACGCTTCTGTTGGGCTGATTCAAGTAACTTGGAAAAAGCACCCAATGATACAGCGCCGCACAACGGAGGTTAGAGAGGTGATGAAAGGGTGCTGATAACAGAGAACCAGAGAGAGAGAGAGAGAGAGAGAGAGAGAGAGAGAGAGAGAGAGAGAGAGAGAGAGAGAGAGAGAGAGAGAGAGAGAGAGAGAGAGAGAGAGAGAGAGAGAGAGAGAGAGAGAGAACAAGAGATACGAGAGATAGAATAAGAGATACCGGGAGAGTGAAGAAAATCTCAATATTTCAAATCCATTCAATCACATTACCCAAAACAGAAAGTAGGATCCTGAGCAGGCTAAAAGTATTTGACAAAAAGTATGTGCCTTTAATATATAATTAAAACATATGCAATAATAAATGGGCGTGTGGGAAAAAACAAGATGGAGAAGATTCTAACTACTGAGATTCAACTGATTGTAATGATCCTGCATCACATTTCTAAAAATAATAGAAAAGTAGTGTTGACCTCATTTTTAGTGAGGTCTTAGTCTTCTACTCTTAGAACCTAGAATCTAGCCTTAGGAGTTTCTTGTTGATCATCCTAGCGGACTAGCAATGGAGCCCACCTCCCGTAGAACTTCAAGCCACTTCTTGACTCATTTTTGTGAAGAACTCGCATGAGTGGTTCCAAGCACTCAACTTTTAGTTGCAAGGGCTCAGGACCAACATGTAGAGGGCCCGAAATTGAGTTCCTATAGGATCAACAGCCTTAGGTGAACCCTTTGTGACTCGATTACTCGCGAACGCCATTTTTTCATGCACTCACTGCACCACACACGATTTTGGCTTAAATTGACTCGCCCG